AAGTTTCATAGCATTGTGATCTGAAAATATGCATGATATGATCTCAATCTTTTTGTACCTGTTGAGGACTGACTTGTGACCCAGTATGTGATCTATTCTATGGAGTGTTCCATGTGCACTGGAGAACAATGTGTATCCTGCTGCTTTAGGATGAAATGTTCTGAATACATTTGTTAAGTCCATCTGGTCCAGTGTGTCATTCAAAGCCATTGTTTCCTTGTTGATTTTCTGCTTAGATGATCTCTCCATTGCTATAAGTGGGATATTAAAGTCTCCTACTGTTATGGTATAATTATCAATAAGTTTTTTAATGTTTGTTATTAATATATATGTATATATGTGCATATATATTGGTTCTCCCAAGTTGGGAGTGTAAATATTTATAGTTGTTAGATCTTCTTGGTGGATGGACCCCTTAATTATGATATAATGCCCTTCTTCATCTATTGTTACAGTCTTTGTTTTGAAATCTAATTTGTCTGATATAAGTATGGTTATTCTGGCTTTCTTTTGACCTCCATTAGCATGGTAGATGGCTAGAACTATCAATATGTGAATTCAGCAAAGTTGCAGAATATAAGATCAACATGTAGAAATCAGTTGCATCTCTATATATCAATAATGAAGCAGCAGAAATAGAAATCAAGGAATCGAACACATTTGCAGTTGCACCAAAAACCATAAGATACCTAGGAATAAACCGAACCAAAGAGGTAAAAGATCTATATGCTGAAAACCAAAGAAAGCTTATGAAAGAAATTGAAGAAGACACAAAGAAATGGAAAAATATTCCATGCTAATGGATTGGAAGAACAAATATTGTTAAAATGTCGATACTACCCAAAGCAATCTGCACATTCAGTGCAATCCCTATCAAAATAACACCAGCATTCTTCACAGAGCTAGAACAAACAATCCTAAAATTTGTATGGAACCAAAAAAGACCCCAAATAGCCAAAGTAATGTTGAAAAAGACAACCAAAACTGGAAGCATCACAATTCTGGACTTCAAGTTGTATTACAAAGCTATAATCATCAAGATAGTATGGTACTGGTACAAAAACAGACACATAGATCAATGGAATAAAACAGAGAACCCAGGAATGGGCCCACAAGTGTCTGGCCAACAAACCTTCAGCAAAGTGGGAAAGAGTATCCAATGGAAAAAAGAAAGTCTCTTCAGTAAATGGTGCTGAGAGAACAGTCCAGTGATATGCAGAAGAATGAAACTGGGCCACTTTCTTACATCATACACAAAAATAAATTTTAAATGGATGAAAGACCTAAATGTGTGACAGGAAACCATCAAAATCCTATGAGAAAAAACAGGCAGCAACCTCTCCGACCTCGGCTGCAGCAACTTCTTACTAGACATGTCTCTGAAGGTAAGGGAAATAAAAACAGAAGTGAACTATTGGGACCTCATCAAGATAAAAACTTAGGCACAGCAAACAAAACAATCAACAAAACTAAAAAGCAACCAATGGAATGGAAGAAGATATTTGCAAATGACATATCAGATAAAGGGTTAGTATCCAAAATCTATAAAGAACTTACCAAACTCAACACCCAAAAACAAATAATCCAGTTAATAAATGGGCAGAAAACATGAAGAGACACTTTTCCAATGACAACATCCAGATGGCTAACAGACACATGAAAAGATGCTCAATATCACTCATCATCAGAGAAACACAACTCAAATCCAGACTGAGATACCACCTTACACCTGTCAGAATGGCTAAAATGAACAACTCAGGCAACAACGGATGTTAGCTAGGATTCAGAAAAAGGGGAACCCTTTGCACTGTTGGTGGGAATGCAAACTGGGTGGAAATTTTGAGTTTTCCTCAAAAACTTAAAAACAGAATTACTCTACAACCTAGAAATTGCACTACTAGATATTTATCCAAAGGATACAAAAATGCAGATTTGAAGGGGGCACATGCACTCCAATGTTTATAACAGTGCTATCAACAATAGCTAAATTATGAAAGGAGCCCAAATATTCATTGATTGATGAATGGATAAAGAAGATGTGGTATATATCCACAATGGAATATGACTCAACAATCAAAAAGAATGAAATCTTGCCATTTGCAACAATGTGGATGGAATTACAGTGTATTATGCTAAGCACAATAAGTCAGTCATATGTGGAATTTAAGAAACAAAACAGATGAACATAAGGTAAGGGAAGCAAAAATAAGATAAAAACAGAGGTGGCAAACCATTAAAAGACTCGTAAATACAGAGAATGAACTGGGTTTCTGGAGGGGTGTTAGGTGGTGGGATGGGCTAAATGTGTAATGGGCATTAAGGAGGACCCTTGTTGGGATGAGCACTAGGTATTATATGATTAATCACTGGGTTCAACTCCTGAAACCAATACCACACTGTATTTAACTAACTTGAATTTAAATAAATACATTTTAAATTCGTTTTAGTAGGTATATCTTTAAAATTGATTATTGTTTTCTAGAGGTTTGGCAGAGAAGGAAAAGAGAGGAGATGGTACTTTTTATTTAAAAAGTACATGATTATTAGATGAAATGAAAATATGAAGAAATATATAAACTAAATTATAAAAGCTATTCCCTAAGTCACTCTATTTCTGCTTCTTTCCACAGGTTTGGTATCTATTCATCTAGAAGTTTAAAATTACTTTTTGTGTATTTTTGTTTTTACAAAAATTAGGTCACATTATATGCATTCTATTATTGCAAATTGCTTTTCTTTCTATTTCTTTCTTTCTTTTTTCCTTTTTATTTCTTTCTTTCTTAATATTATGTCATGAAGTTTCTCCACAATAGTATAAAGAACTACTTCATTCCTTTTAATAACTGAATATTGTTCCTTATAATAGATGTATCATGGGTTTTTTTTTCACTCATTCTTCTATTGAATATTTGCCTTCAATTTTCTCCTATTACAAGTATTCTGCAGTGATCATCCTTGAACAAATATTCTCATACTGTTGTTTATGTAATTCTATAGAATAACTTCTTAAAAGCAAAATTGTTAGGAGGTAGGTGCATTTTTATTTTGTGTTGACAAATCACCCACCAAAAGGCTATACCAATTTACAGTTCCTCCAGTAATGTATTAAAATGCTCTTGTCCCCTCACTGTCGCTGACACTGAGTATTATACTTTCCCACTTATGGGAAGAGTTTCTGGTTTTAGATTTAGGGTTTGGTTTTTAATGGAAAGTCTGATCTTGTTTGTAATCCTCAGAAAGAATTAAGTTGAGAGGAGGAATTTGTAAATTATAAGAAAAGGAGAAAACTGATGGGCCATAGTCACAGAAGGCATAGGTCACTGATATCAAGAGTACGAATAAAAGGTGTGATTTTCTTTGGAGACATTAATGGAGGAATAGTAGATAGATAAAGCTGGAAATAAATACAAAGGAAAGGAGAGATTTTTTTTTTCTAGTCATCTTTATTTTAGATAAATTAGAAGCCATGTCCCCTGTTGAGATAGTGGATTACCAGGATTGGGTTTGGAATAAAGGTATAGAAATGGAGTATGGAAAATGGGGTAAAGAAGCAGGAAGCAATCAACTTTGGGAGGGATAAACATCGGCTAGTATTGGGGACTCAGCTAAGTTAAGAATGAATGAATTTAGGGGAGTCAGTAGTCTTGGTCGCATTAACTTTCATATAAGAGCAAGCAAAGATATAGTCCTTGGATTTGCCTGCATTTGGAGCTTCTGGGTTAAGGTAAATTTATCTTACATTCACAGTGAGATAGTTTTATTCTCTTCTTTTTCCTGTCTCATGAATAGAAGTTATATGAGCTAAGATATACAGCCACTGCTGAATCCACATGGGAAAGTGATCTCTGAATTCTGGTTAAAAAAAAATTTAAGAGTATAAATTTAATATGCTGCATTATGCTCATATAAAGCCATACTACTAATAGTTTTTGTTTCTTTATATCACTCCAAACATAAAGCTATTTAATTTCTTGGTTTTAGTAATACATTTGATATGAGCAGACATTATTAAAAATTCTGATCAACGTAAACCAGAAACCCAATGACTTTGATAGGTTTACATGATTATAATCCTGGTCAAATTATTTCTGTCTAGGGATTACCTCTGTTTCTGGGGAGTTTGTTTAGTCTTAATATTTAGATTCTACTTTTTGAGTAAAAGTCTTCTCTCTCTCTCTCTCTCTCTCTCTCTCTCTCTGTCTTTTCACTTTAGTACTCACATTGTTCATGGGCATGGGGAAGACAATACCAAAGTGTCATGAGTCTGTGGTTAATTTAAGTGTGAAGGAAGAGGCTGGTGGAATAGTAATGAATATACATCATTCTAACACTTCTTTCTAAACAATAAAATGTTGTAAGGAAATGTGTTAATGGTGAGAACACAGTTTATTAGAGAGAAAAACATATGTACATGTGTTTATTTTCATTAAAATTCCTTTTTCTCCATATTTGCCTTGTTGACTTTAGAATGAAATGATGTGGGGACAGAGACCAGTTATTCCACATGCACCATTGTACTGCTCCTTACATACTCTGGGCACATAATAAATACTGTAACAATTGAAAATGAGAAACACAAATGCGTGTTGAAGCAAATTGGTGATATTTTAATCCCTAATGTTCAATTTTAGTACTTGGAAACATTTTAGTTATGCAAGTCTTGTTTTAGCATACTTTTTATTTCTACAGATATTCTGGTTCTTAGTCATACTCTATGGCTTTATTAGCAGTTTCATGAGTCTGAGTCTCATTTCCCCAACTCCAAATATAAGCTTTTTGAGGATAAAGACCATTTCTTTTCCAAAATTATTGTGGAAAGTTACAAAACAGACCTTCTATAAATTATTCAAATTATATTTCAATAAAAAATAAGAAGAAAAAGAAAGTCCTTACTGCCGTGAATTGCATTTTAACTCATGCTGAATTTATATGCCTTTATGTGATCGCACACCCCCATGTATGCTGTCTACATACAGCCCATTCTTGTTTATTCTTTTTAGTTTATTGAAGTCAAAATATTCTGACTGGCTGCTGGGAGCATCATCATCCATCAAAAAGTACCAGGAGTCCACTAACAGTGGTGAAAATAGAAGGGAGAAGAAGACAGTTGGGTTTCAATCACAAACAGAAGATAATGCCCTATGGACATGTCAAAAGAAAGATGCATATCGACCCCAAAGAGGTAAGCTTAGCATTTATAAGTAGCAAAAGAAGAAGCTGTTCCAGGGCTAGTGGTTGCTAGTGGGTGCTAGCCATGAACTCCAGATGACTTCTACAACCCTAAGCAAGAGTTAAGTGTGCTACAAACTGACATGTGCCTTCAAGGCCACAAGTAGCACATTTGCTAGATCACTGAATCACATCATCCTTTCTCTTAGAATACTCTTCTGAGAAACTGTCCAGTTTGTCTCTCTCTGCAAGCAGCAAACTATAAGGATGATTCAATAGTAAGTATGGTCATAGACACAAAATAATGTTCAAAGTGAGTAAAGAGGACAGGAAATTGAATATAAATTTCTTCTGGAAGAGTAAACTCTAACAATTACAGTTAATCCTCAATTAACTAGAAATATAGGAAGGGTGTCATGGACAATTCTACATTGTGGCTAAAACAAAACCTCATAAGTCTGAAGCATATATTACCTAATAGTCTTTTAAGTGCCAGCAATTCTTGCTATTTTAGATGTCACAGATATTTTAAGATTTTATTTTTAAGTAATCTCTACATCCAATGTAGGGCCCTGACTTACAACCCCAAGATCAAAAGTCACATGCTCCACCAACTGAGCCAGGCAGGCACCCCAGATGTGAGATATTTTTAAATAAATCAATTGTAAAGTAACAGTATGAAACGTTGAATGAAGCAGTCAAATTTAATTATGTTTCCCTATTGTTTCTGGAGCAGCTTTTTTCTTAATCTCTCCTAAAAAAATTTTTTTTAAGTTTATTTATTTTGAGCGAGAGAGTGTGTGAGCAGGGGAGAGGCAGAGAGAGAATTCCAAGCAGGCTCTGCACTGCCAGCACAGAGCCCGACGTGGTGCTCAAACTCATAACACATGACATCATGACCCAAGCTGAAATAGAGCCAGATGCTCAACCAACTGAGCCACCCAGGCGCCCCTCTCATGAGATTATTAAGGGAAGGACTTCATAGCAGAATGCAGCAAGTCTAAGCTTCATTGTAGAAGGAGATGTACAGGAAAGAAATGGCCACAAAAAGTCTTGGAGCCCCCTCTGCTCACACCTCTTTCCAAGATATCTCTTTTTCCTGCTCACAGCCATTAACCCTGACTTCTGTCTTATTTACCTCTTTTTTTTACTGAGCTGGTACTTGCCCATCTCTGCTAGTAAGCAACCAACTTTTGATGATCTCTCTAGCCACTCTTACATTTATGTATTTGAAAACTGGGCAATGCTTTATTAGATCTTGTATAGCGTGCCCTTATCACCTGCCACCTTTGTCATGATTTTTTGTTTTAATTATGATTAATCCAGGAATAATCTTCTCCCAAATGATTGAGAGATGATAATTAGTCCAAGCTTCAGAAGAAAAAGTATCCACATCTTGAAACAAAAACAAGTACATTTTCTTTGACATAAGGCAGAAGTTCTGCAGACCTCCATTGTGTTAGGACAACTTAGACCAACTTTTGTCTTGTTAGACTTTGCTATCAGAAACAGAAATGAAATTGAAGAGACTTCATATCAGATGTAGAATCTTCTTTACTTCCTCTGCTAGTCCTTGAGAGATGGGAAACCCTTCACTCTTTTCTTAGCCCTTGTACTTTGGAGAATAGAGAACCAATCAAAACTGGTGTGGTGGTTACACGGCAAAGCTTAACATAGTTTTCTGTTAACTTGTCAACAAATTTGTGTTGTGTGTCAGCACTAAAATAAAATGGCAAAATGAGAAAAATATAGTGTAATAGCAAAGGGACAAATGACTTGTGTTATTGGTTAAGACCACAGCCACATTCTAGGGCTGCAGTGGAAAAGGCACTTTGAGAAAGGTACCATCAGGCCAGCCCTACCAGTGGTGGAGGTTAATCTCTCCTGGGCCCAGCTACAGAAGCTGTAAGCCTGGAAAGGGCTTGTGTCCAAAAAAAATCAATTTCTAATTTGAAACAAAATCATTTTTGACTAACAGGGGTTCAGAACCCATTACTTTTTGCTGTATAGTCTGCTGACATTTCAGCACTTTCTGTGGTGCACAATGAATCCTAATAGTCATTTTATAATGTTGCTATACCAATCAATTTAACCAAGAGAAAGCTGTTACAATTCTGCAAAGTTTTCAGGAACAGTGTTCACTCATGGTTTTAGTTTTTTCATTAGCTTTTTTCCTTTTTTTTTTTTTTTTAAATGGGGAAAGGTTGTAGTGTTGCAGTGAAAAAAAAATAGAACCTTTTTCATCTTTTTAAGAGAGTTTGTTTTAAGGTATTCACAGGAATTAACCTTTTTTTTCCTTCTTATAAGAAGGACTGTCGTGTGTTTTTTGCTTCTTTTATTCTTATATGAAGCCATTGGCAAAATTACGGTACACCTGATCATTGAGGAGCTGACGTTGCCTCTTTGGGTCCTTCTGCTCATCGCGGAGCTTGTGCATAGATCACAGAGTAGGGCAGTTGGTATTTACGGTGGCTCCCAGCCAGATGGGAGACAGGCCTTTCACGATGTGTTGCCAGGGGTTTGGACACCCTGTTTATCATAAGGCCAGTGACCTAGCACTAATTGCTTAAGTTATACCGCTTGGTTTAATGTCTCTTTAATTGCTTTCCCCTCCGTAACGTGTCTAAATTTTTTAACAAACTTTTCTTCTTTGTTTCCTTTGTTGTCTTTAATCACTAATTACTACATAGGATGTTTATTTCAGGACCATTAATCTTTATTATCAGTCACTTATCCCTTTACCTTTTCTATCCTCCTCACCATTCCATCAACTTTTTTGATACTAAATACACCCACACCCACACCCACACACACACACACACACACACACACACATATACATATACATATACATATACATATACATATACATATACATATACATATACATCTATATGTATATGTATATGTATATGTATATGTATATGTATATGTATATGTATATGTAAAGTATAGACCTCACTGTTGTCTCAAGAAACAGCCTGGGGATCACAACAATGTATACAGTATTGTCAGAATTACTTAAAATATAAATTGTTTTTCACTTGTCAATGCTTGGAATATTCTATTTTAGTTTTATTGAGCTATATGAAACAAGGAGACATTACTTAGGAAAATCTGAACTTGAGTCAAGAACTTTTCAGCCAAAGGCACAACTCTGGAAACACACACTGTTCTTTCCTCTTTTTTCCTCCCTACTCAGCAGTGTTTTCTTCCCTCTCCCAACTTGCCTCGAACCTCCCTTTTCTTACCAATCACTGATTCCCTTTCATAAGAGCCCTCCCAGCTGAGGGCATTTTCATTCTGTTATGTTGGCAGGCTATCAGAGGCCATGAGGCCACTGAGCAGACATGTTCCAGAATCAAAATGTTAGGCCTCAGGGCTTGGCATCACCCATTTCTAAGTGAGGCTGTAAAGCCATCCCAAAGCCCCCTACTGCATTTAGAGCTACCTCCTGTTTGTTCCTTTTTCATGGACCTCTGAATCTTCTTAAAACTTCAAGAAAGGCTGAACCTAAAGTAATTTGGATTTAACTGATGATATTGACTGTGCCCTTCATTTTGTCTTTTGGCTTTTTTAGGCTCTATAATATACAGCAGCTATCACTCGTTGACAGCCCCTGAGGGGCTCCCAAACATATTTTTCTTTTACTGAAAGAGAATTGTTATAGACTCATCTGAAGTGAGGAAAAATCTCTGAAGCTCCTAGGTGTTCCTCTAAGTAAGCTTGTGCTTGCAATGATGTGAATGTTCTTTGTAGTCCATGATAGATTAATATAGGTGACATGATTAAAGAAATAAACAAGTTGGAGTATCCAAAGTATAGAAGCCATTTCCATTTTGCCTCTAAGGAACACTTATTTATGTTTCTTTTATTATTAACATCATCATCATTATTGCATGTTTAATCATTAGAAATGTATATCACAAGATGCTGCTTCTGATTCCCAGAAGTCTGAGCTAAAAGATTTGTTAAAAGTTGAAGCCTTTATCAATAGAACACAGAAGACAACCATAATATAGGGGTATGAATAAACCCAGATATGTAGATTAAATTGTCCTGCTCAGTCCCTTTAAAAAAGGAATTTAACTGGGGCGCCTGGGGCGCTCAGTCGGTAAAGCGTCTGACTTCGGCTCAAGTCACGATCTCAGTTTGTGAGTTCAAGCTCCGCATGGGGCTCTGTGATAACAGCTCAGAGCCTGGAGCCTGCTTCAGATTCTGTCTCCTCCTCTCTCTGCCTCTCCCATGTTCATGCTCTCTCTGTTTCTCGGTAATAAATAAACGTTAAAAAAAAAAAAAAGGAATTCAACTGCAAGAGACCAGGATTAAGAGTTGAAGTTGCTGTATATGGAATATTGTCACTTAAAGCAAAGACTCTACATTTCCCATTGCCCACAGCAGAAAGAAGTATCTCAAAATACAATATAATTTACTTGTTTTTGAATATTGTACATCGTCTCCCACTAGAATATGAACACTCCAAATTTTACAGTTGTGTCCGCATGAGAACATTGCTTAACATGTAGTAGGTGCTCACTATATATTTGTTGTATGAATTAATATAACATTAAGTAGGTAGGTAGGTAGATCTTTCTGTTTCTTTGCCCTGTTTCCTGGCCATTAAGATCTAATAAGTTAGCTTTTTCATCCTCAGTACCTACAGTGATTTAGTGATTTAAGAAATATATATTCTTCTCCCTTCAAAATCCTTATGATTGGCAATGTCAAAGAGATATCAATGGAGTGTGGTCTTAAAAACCTCACTGCTTTGGGGCGCCTGGATGGCTCAGTTGGTTAAGCATCAACTCTTGATTTCAGCTCAGGTCATGATCTCACGGTCCATGAGTTCAAGCCCTGCATTGGGCTCTTCACTGGCGGCATGGAGCCTGCTTGGGATTCTCTATCTCCCTGTATCTCTGCCCCTCCCTATGTGTTGTCTTTCTCTCTCTCTCTCAAAAATATATATTAAAAAAAAAAAAAACAGCACTGCCTTAAGAATCAAGAAAACTGTAG